AAAGGACCTTTGAAACAGAACGTGAAGAAAGCTCCCTTCTTCAGTAAACTGATCATCATCATGCCATCTGAGGGTTCCTTACTTCTGGGGTCTCAGATTCACATTAAATCACAGAGCAAATGTTCCCCAGCAGAATGTGCTGTGTGTTTCAAAAGGAAAGCCTGAAGTTTCCTTATTAAGTCTGAGAAAAGCAGCTCTCCTGGTGGTTACTTAAGAAATCTTGTCCCTAAAAAGAAAATAAAACCTTTCTTTTTCTCTCAAGTGAAGGATGAAATTATTTTAGGGAAAAAAGAAATCAGTTAAATCATTCTCTCCCAGCTCTAGAAGACCTTGTGTTGCCTGCCCTTTCATCTTCTCTATCTGTGTTTTTCAGCATTCCAACCTGGGCAGGTTCAACACAGATTAATACGATCTACACTCTCCAAGCCAGTAAACAAACGTGCTTACATGACTGGATGCCCTTTGACACTCTTAATTATTGCTCTGTGACGCATCAGTGGCTGGCCTCACTGACTGGACTACTGAGTGGGTGTGACATCATCTTGACTGTGTGAGGCATTTTTTAGCAGTCAACTTGGGGACTGGTCACTTTTTAGATTTAAATATTTACCCTGAGGAATAAGCACATGAATGCCCATTCCTGGCCCGTGCTTGCACTCTCCAATCACAGATTTTGAATCTGAGAGTGTGGAGGAATGCTTAGAGACAAATAGACAATAACTATTAATAATTAAGGAACAAAATCACAGTGACATCTATACTACTACATAACCACAAGCGCACCTCAGAAAAAGTAGTTTGGGATTACAGGACTAGAGAGAGTAAAACGATCAAACAATAAGGCAAACTATGCAAGGCTTTAAGGAAAAGGTTTCTAATTGCCTTGGTAAAAGGAATCTCCCACAGTAGAGTCTCTACAAGCAATCTGGCAACTTTTACCAAACAGGCAGCTTTTACCAAAATAACAGACAACTGAACACATCCTGATAATAGCTCAAAATACCACTCCTGAGAACATTATACCTGTGTTATTTGATATTTATGAAAACCCAGAACTTAGGAAAGCAGGTATTATACCCATTTAACAAATGAGAAGAAAAAAACAGTCACAAGGGCTGCGATGCAGCGAGCCCTTCCATGAACAAGGTCCCCTCCAGCATTAATTTATCTCATCTTCCCAACAACCCCAGAACGTAAATTCTGTACATTTCCCAACTTATAAGGAATCCCAGATGTGGGATGGCCCCTTGCTTAAGGACACATGCATGCTATGTGAAGTTTCAGATCTAGAGCTCCAGTTCTGAAGAGTTCTGGACCTCTCAGCCTTCTCACATGGCCAGGCCCTGAGAGGTCCCTAGCACTTCTCTCCCTCCTATCTCCTTTTACTTTGTAATTATACAAAAAGCAAACAGAACAACCAAGTTTAGTCATTAATGCCAGAACAGAAAAGCACTAATGGTTTATGAGTATCAACAGGTCTTCACAGTGTTGCCCACAACACAACTTCAGGGGCTCCTACTCACTGGATTTCATGTGAATAGAGCTGCCTGGAATTGTACCATATGCTGGCCCCTCTGGTGGGGAACAGCAAGTTAGAATATACTTTAAAAAGTTAATCTAAAAAGTAGGCAATATATACACATGGTAAAATATTCATAAGTCCAAATGACCATATTATACAAAGTAAGCAACCCCAAACCCAGTTTCTCCCTTGGGAAGCAGTCATAAATTTTTTA